CTCTAGATAAGAATAGTCCTAAAAGGATTTGGACCCATGGTCCTTATGAGCTGAGATATTGACTTTTCAAGTTCCAGCAGATAAGAAGGACTTTGATCCTCTATTTTGATTATTTCGAAAACAAAAATGTGTTGTTAACTAGAAATTCTATGATAAACTGACTGCATCATTACCAAATTACTGTGAAATTTCCAAATTTTATCTCATTTCAATTGTCCTCGCCTCAATTCGTACCAACGATCAAGTATGCATGGTTCGCATCAGGATACATCGATCAGCATCCAGGAGATTTTGAGTCTATCAACGAAGTTTGCTTCAACGTTAATGCTGATGTCTACCAACAGTCGAACTGTCGCTTATTATGCTTTATTCAATGCAGTCATTGCCGCAAGCTACTCTGCTTTGAACATTTCCTTGAAGCTAATCATTATCATGATTAGAAGTCTGCTGTCTTTCAGTATGATGCTATAATTTTTTTAAAAGTGATAACTATAAAAGTTTATTTTGTTCGCTCTAGGATTTTCAAGAAAACAGCTATGGCTTATAGAAATGAGATAAAATTTGGAAATTTCACAGTAATTTGGTAATGATGCAGTCAGTTTATCATAGAATTTCTAGTTAACAACACATTTTTGTTTTCGAAATAATCAAAATAGAGGATCAAAGTCCTTCTTATCTGCTGGAACTTGAAAAGTCAATATCTCAGCTCATAAGGACCATGGGTCCAAATCCTTTTAGGACTATTCTTATCTAGAGATTCCCTCTATATGCCCAAAGTATGGGCTCAAAAGCAGTTAATCATTTCGGTTACTTCTCTCGTAAGAGATCGTTCCGCTCAAAAACTGCTTTCTAAAAATGGATTTCTGCAGCCTTGATGAGCTTCTGTCTTTCATCTAATATCAAAAGCCTTTAAAAATGGCTTTAATACTCTCTTCGACATCTTTTTTAGAGCCATTTTTAAGGAATTCTTCTGCGAGATAAACAACAAAACTCTGAAAGATTTTAGAGAGTTTTATTATTTACAGAGACGTGAATATCGATGAATCTCGTTGAATATTGATACTGGTTTATCGTTAAAGTCATTACCGGTTCATATCGATTACTGTTTAAAGAGTTACTTGGTCCGACCAGTTATCGTTTAATCGCTTAATAGGTCTAACCGGTTATTGTTTAACTGGTTACTCGGTCCGATCGGTTACCGGTTGGCTATGGTTACCGGCTATCGGTTATCGTCACCGTTGCATCCCTAACATACAGTCTATGTGATATCTCTATTGTTTTTATTTAGGGTGGTGAACGAACAAAAGATGAAATGTGCCTTCACATGTTTACCTACTACCCTCGAATGAATAATATGTATGGATGTATGTCATACAATTCTGAGTCAGCATGGCTAACTATGATGAATAGTTCATCGTAAGTGTGATGTGTTGTTTATATGAGTCAAAACTTCAGATTTTTATTTCTGTTCAAGATCGAAAATCAATTTTCCAAAATTCAAAAAATGGTTACTCGATATAAAATGGACGTCAGAATTGAAAGTTCGATGGCAAGAGTTCTATAATCATGCTCCGCGTACTGTTATCTTTGGTTCAGCACAACACTTTGACCACGCAATTCTTCCGCGCTTACCTAAATATGAAGATTTGAAACCTGCAGAATGTAGCAAACTACAAATTAGACCTGAAGAGGTCATTTCTACGATCGCTACAACGGTTACTCCTGCGGTCCTTGATACGGACGGTGAGAAAAGTTCGGCCAGCCGTGAAAAGACATTCATTCTTCTCGTATTCATTTCGATTATAATGAAAAAAACATTTGCTTTATAAAATAAATAAACAATATGCCATCCAGAAAAAGAACAGGGGCGGAGTGTATCGACTAGAAAGATGAAGATATCTTAATGTCCTGATGATTCTTGTATCTAAAGATTTAGAGCAATTTGATTGAATTTTAATAATTGTTGACCTACGATATTCGTTTTAAGTCCATACGAAAGTCGTCTATTTCCTGTATGTAATGGACTATCTATCTATATATATAATGTTCAGTGTCTGTCGGTCTGTCTGTCTGTCTGTGCCGAGTCAAAGGTTAAAAGCCAAATAAGGCTATAAGGGGAAGACGCCAAGGGCTACTATATTGGGGCAGCCATAGGTGCTCAAGGGCTACCCTATGGAGGTACCCATACGTTCTTAAAGGCTATCGTATGAAGATACCCATAGACCCACAAGGGCTATTATATGAAGGTACCCATAGGTCCTCATCGGCTATTATATGGGGTACCCATAGGTCCTGAAGGGAGTAACTCAGTAAGGGGGCAGGTAATAAGGGGTAAGACAGTAAGGAGATAAGGCTACGAGAGCTACAAGGGATATAAGACTATAAGGGCGAAGGCTGCATGTATTATAAAAATATGTGCGATATAAGAGTATGAGGTGGTAGGGCTATCTATCTATATACATAATATCGAGTGTCTGTATGTCTGTTAGCGGATGAAAAGTTAGACGTCTGAGGTCATACGCTAAAGGAGAATACAGCCGTGCAGTATGCACGGGCTCACGCTAGTATATAAATAAAGATCCAAAATTTTAGTTTCAAATTGCAAGTCGAAATACAAAAACACATGGAAAAAATTTGTCCAAACTAATTTATTTTTGACTTTTCAAAGATCATTTCACTACTTTTGAACAAAAGCAGACAAAATTTCTAGACCCACATTCGAAAAAGAGCACAAATTTTTGGTCCTAACTCACAGCTTTTGACTAGTCGGATATGCTTTTCAGTAGGTCAAAAGTGAACAAACATCTTGTCTACAAATTTTCCGATCATCCGTTCATACATTTTTGTATCAGATAAAGATGTATCTTTCGAAAATCTTGTCAGATCGAGAGGGGGGGCGGAGTCGGTGAGCACAGTGGGTAGTAAATAAAGGTCAGGTGACAAAACAATTTTGAATTTCGGATGATTTTTTTCAACAAATCTTTTTTTGGCAAAAAGCGAATGCACCAATTTGACGCGCGTTTGACACGCTATCAAACAAAAGATACTCAAATTTTTCGCACGCAATGCTAACAGGAAAATTAGAATACATAGAAGAAAACTTTGTCGCCTGACTGTTCACCGTGGGGGAAGGGGCTGAGCCCACCTTAGCCTAAACTTTTAGCTCCGCCACTGCTTGTAGCTCTTCTTTATCAACAAAATTTTAATCCTTTTTTAGTTTATAGTTAAGACTGCGTTGTTCATGGTGTACTATAAAAGTGCGATACGATTTAGACCTTTATGTAGTCTTTTGGCAGCAGTAAAACCCGTTATTTCTGCATCACTTATATAAATTCATATATCAGTAAATTATACTTTAAATCTAGCATCCCTATATCATGCTCGAATTCAACTATTCACCTAATGATCTCAAATATTTAATCATTCCATTCAGCTATTCGAGCAGCTCATCCACAAATATGTCTAGTTTCAATACTAAACGACAGCCACACTAAGCAAGACACATACTATCAATCCTTCCGTAGCAGCCTCACTCAGCTCTATACCCTGTGTGAGTGTTCGTGGCACCCTCACTGAGCTCAATGCCTTGTATCACTGTTTCCGTGGCACCCTCACTCAGCTTGATACTAGGGGTGTCATATTCCACTTACTAGTAATAGTAAGTGGTAAGTAGTAAGTGGTGCCACTTACCACTTACCGATAAGTGGTAAGTGATGAAAGTTACTATGCAAGAAAAAAAAATCAATAAGTAAAATAATCATTTATTAGTTCTATATCGATAATTTTTCGATAATTACAACACTTACCGCAGTGTTGCAACCGGTAGGGTTTTTTCTAGACCGGTACCCGCACTGGTCTAAACCGGTCAGATCGGACCGGACCGGTTGGTAGACCGGCATGAGTCATCATTGAGCATGTGGGTGTGAGTGTGAGTGTGTGGGTGTGCCTGTGCCTGTGGGTGGGTGTGGATGTGGGGCGTGACTGTGGGTGTGTGGATGTGAGTGGGTGTGGGATGTGGATGTGAGTGGGTGTGGGGTGTAGATGTGAGTGGATTTGGGTGTGGACGTGGGTGTATGGGTGTGGGTGTGGGGTGTAGATGTGAGTGGATTTGGGTGTGGACGTGGGTGTATGGGTGTTGGTGTGGGTGTGCGAGTGTGGGTGTGCGAGTGTGGGTGTGAATGACAAGCTCAGACATAGCCACAGCCACATCCCACAACCACACTCCACACCCACACCCACATCCTCAGCCACACCCACAGCCTGACCCACACTCACACCTACATCCACACCCTCACCTACATCCACACTCACCCACACTCACACCCACACCCACACCCATCTTGATAATGAAACAGTTGATTTTTGTGTCTTGTTATCTAAGTATTTTCTTCTTATAATACTTGCGATATTAAAATAATAAGTTTTTGTGTTTATTTTTTTTTTGGATTTAACAAGTTAGCTATTGTTCAACACTAGAATGATGCTGCTTAAGAAAGATATCTCATAAATTGATTATAGATGGCTGAAATGATTAATATGGGCTTCACTTAATCCGAAACTATATGTACAGTGTGTGTGTCCTGTTTAATATCTTGTTTTTCTTCGTCCTATCCCATTCCCGTCAGCGCTTCAAAATCAACCTGCAGTGACGATGCAGAATATTTCAGAATACAGAAAGAAATACACACCCACAGCTTTTCAAGTAGAAAAAAACGGGCTCTCAAGAGTCAAGGAAATCAATTACATTTTGTAATCCCCTATTTCTCTTCTCTGCTCCCTATCATAAATTTTGTAATCAACAGATACATGCTCCATTGAATTTTTATTTTAATCCTCAAAAACAATCAATGCTATTTCAAGATACAGAATAAAGTACACACCTGTTAGGCAATCTCTAGGGCAAAGAAAAGCAATTACATTTTGTAATCTTCTATTTCTCTTTTCTGCTCCCTATCATATAAATATTACACACATTCATTTTCATTGAATTCAAAACAGAAATGTCTATCAACGTGCGCTTCTTTTTATTTCTTGCTCTCGGTGCAGTGGCCTTCGCTCACCTACCCATCCCAGGCAGACCTGTCACTACACCATTTGGTAAGAAAGGTAGTTGGGCAGCTGGTTATCACACTGGTGCCGATTATGCATGTCCAGTTGGAACAAGTGTTCGTGCAACAGCAAGTGGCAAAGTGATAAATGCGAACTGGGGTGCGGACTACGGCACTCACATTGTTATTGAATCATCAGACAAAGTTCGTCAACTTTATGCACATTTGAGCCAGAAACTGGTCAGCGTTGGTCAAAACGTCAAAGCGGGAGATGTGATTGCAAAGAGTGGAAATACAGGAAGATCAACTGGACCACATCTTCACTATGAAGAACGAGTTTCCCCCTATGGCTATTATAATCATCGGAAACCACAGTTGAATGTAGCGCATTAGAGTTAATATGTCGTTCTTCTGTTTTCGGTGTTTTCTTGAAGTATAATAAAGTTCGTAACAGTTATTGAAGCAGAGGTTACTTTGAAGAATTCTGAAGCTTAGATAGGTTTATGGCAAGAGTGATAGTAAGCCAAGCTAGCCACGATTTATTTGTAGTTTCTTAAGTTGACAAAGAGAAATGCTACAAATAGACCAGATTTCAGAGGGTTCTTATAGTTGAAAGGTTGTCTTTGATGGATGTCTTTTATCGGATCATTTCTGTTATGAATGGTTTGATTCTACTGCAGTGCTGCGCTCGGGTGGCGTGGTGTTGTTCTGTGCATAACAATCTGTAATGTATACTGAGTAATTCTAGAACGCATGAAGCATTTCTGAACATTTTTGCTGGTCATGAGCAACAGTTTTGTACATAGAAATGTTTATTGAAAAATGTTAGAAGAGTATGGGATGGGTGTGAGTGTGGGTCTAAGTGTGCGTGTGTGGATGAAGGAAAAATCAACAGTCACACCCACATCCACATACCCACATCCACACACCCATACCCACACCCTATTAAACTTTGTCTTGCTCTGTCATACATTAAAAAAACTCTTTTAGAAATTGATGTAAGTCTCTTTACATTCAGTTTTATTTGTGTTAAAGTCTTAAATGAATGTAAACTATTTATACAAGTTAGAAAATGAAATAAATATGCGGAATATTTTCTACAGGTCGAATAATAACATGATGCCGTAAAATGTTCAAAAAAAGAAAAAGTCAAAATTTGAGAATTGTGTGAACTCGAAGTACAATGATATCTTATTTCTTTTGCGTTTCACAACTTTTCTTTTAATGTTCAGCTTTTTAAAATATATCAACAAATGGTACAAAATCTTTTTCATGAAAATTAACAGAGTACGATATTTGCAATCTGTAGATATGTGATTATACTCAACCTATCTATAAAGCAAAGAATTATAGAGTTGTTAATAATAATCATTTTGAGATCGTCTTCTCTCATTATAAAACACCAGTTGTTTCACTCTACCTGCCTCTAACTTTGTCTAAGAGGCTAAAAAACTAACGAAGATATTTGAAAAATGCTCTCGAAAGATGTATTCATTTGCTTTCTTCTACATAGTTTTATTACCGAATTTTCAGTCTCTGAATATCAGGAGCTGATCAAAAAAGCATATCATCTATTTGTCAATGTTTATATCCTTGCTGATAATCGTTTATTGTTTGAAAACGAAATAATAGAATAACATCTTCAAGAAAATATCATCTAACATTCATTATTCTTCCTTTGACTTTTCTCTTAATCAATCAAAAGCAATGGTTAAATAATTGTTAAAACAGTTGTTGCTAAACAATTAGAACAAATAAATAAATTCTTTTCTATGACAAATATTTCACGATGCTGAACATTACAATAAGTTTCAATGAAGAAAAAGTTTGAAGCATACTATGAAGTATCATATTTTTCTTCAAGTATATGTAGAAGTTCACAAGCTATTGTTTTATTTCTGAACATATCGTCTATATTTCTTTAAGTGATTAACGTTATTCTTAGCGTCAAATAGAAGAGCAAAAATTAAAAAAAAACATAATGAGCAAGATACGATTTGTCGATTACTCTTGCATGTCTATTTGAATCTTTCTTACAGCAAATAACAACTACACTAAGGCCCAAACTCGACATGTGGAAGAGCATCAAGACCAAGTTAGAATCTGCATCCCAAACCCTTGGTCAGATCTCAATTGCTTTCGATTCTGTAACTGAGCTTCAACAGAGAATGAGTACTTGTACTAGAACTGAATCTTAAGCAGGTTTTGCAGTCATTACTGTCACCTGTAGAATTACTTCATCTGGGTCTGAAGCTTGTAGGATACCGAGACCTAGTTAGCGTTCTCAATCCAAAACATGTCCACTGCCAGCACTGTGACCGGGTTCGAAGCTGACACTATAATTGAGAACGTGGCTAAACTCTGAGTCTAGTCTGAAGCTGAGATCCAAGCTAAGGTCTCGAATTCGACCCCAACTGCACCGAAGATAAGAATCAGTCCGTCAAAAACTGTTGAAAGGATGACGAAGTCGAGTCTGAAATCTAGATGAAACGTGGAGCCTGGTTACATCCACATAGCGAACTGTTACTGTGATAGACCTTTGACTCTGGTGTAAAACCGAGAATGTAACAGACGATGCAGCTGGAACTGTGAGTCGTGTCTGTAGCTGAATGCTTACTCAGATTGACAGTCAAATGACGATTTGAACTTCGATATAGATGAAAATCACGACCGAAATCGCAATTGTAATCAGAACAGGGATATACATGGGAACTTGGACGAAGATGATGACCGAGACAGATAGTGACACTGAGGCCTGGATCGATGTTGAAACCTATAACGATTCTGGACGAGAACAAACATGGGTACTGAGGTCTAGACTGCATTTGAGTCTCGCTCTTTGACGAGGAACATGACCATGAACATGAAACACTTCCAGAAGTAACGTTAAAAACCAATGTTTTCTCTCATATGTAGAAGGGACGTTTGAAGCTTGTTTCTACCAGAATCGACGGTATTAAGCTCCTACTATTAATTGTGTAGCCTTAATATTTTATCGATCCTGTACAACGATAGGGAAAAAATCAAGTGAAGACACGGCATAGTCCACATTTTCATCAACCTTCGATTCACTCTCTCTTGCCGCTCTTTAAGCTATTCGATCGATGAATGATAGAACAAGCAAAAGAAAGGCAATATTTACATAAGAAAAAAACCAGATATCTCAATAATATATGATCATGAGGTATGTATCGAAAACGCATGAATGCGCATAAACCAATCTTATTTAGTGATATATGAATAAGCTACGTAATGCACTTATCTCTTGCATAGAACAACCTCGATACATTACAATATTATTCTTATCGTCAGCACATACGCAAGTCCGTAGGAATACAGCCAATAAGCGTAAGTCTTTTGAAATTGTATTTTCTTCAGAAGGCCTTCTTCATTATCCGTATCCAGTCAATTTTTCTATCTTTAAGTAGTACTACTAACAATGGAAAGGTTTGTGCTCACGAGCTGCGAGATTGATCATGTTCAGATCAAATGATCACTTTCACTGAGAAACTAACGAATTTACAATCTAAGCTGCCCATAGTGTAATCTGGACGGACACATTCAATTTTTAAGTTATGCATTATTTTAGTATAGAAGCAAGATAATATATGAACTATTCACATCAACGTTTTAATATAATCATAAGATTTTTTTTAGGGAGTGACTTTCTAAAATCTTGAAAAATTACTAACAACATATAGGTCCCTCTAGATACGACTTTTTCCGAAGTTTAATAGTACCGAATAGGTGAAACGTCGACTATTATGTATGGGAACCCGTCATTCATCCATCTTTCGGCTTTCTTTTGCATGAAAAAAATAAATTATACAAATAATATTTCAGAAGATATTCGATCAAATGATAATACCCAAAGGTGGTTTTTTTGCATCAAGCGCAAGTTAGAAGAGTTCGTTCTTCACAATGAAAAATTGAACAATAAAGGTCGTAGAATTTAAAATAAACATCGTTTGGTGTGTTGATTGAACCAGCTGCGTCGTTGAGTCTCTTGGCTTGTATGAATCCAGAGTTGATGCCATTTTTAAATTGTGGAGCAGATAGTTGATTGTGAATAATCGAATGCATATTTATGAAATATTGACGATCGTCCAAGATCGTTTCTGTTGGATTGACATGAACGTAATGCTCGATTTTCTTGTGAAAATATCGTCATGAGCGAAATAAAGATAAATTCTGAGGTTGAATATGATCAGTTGACCCTTCAAGAAAAATCAATAATTAACTGTCTTAATGTGAAAATACTGCTCTAAATTTGTTTAGATCAGTTTGAGGTATCCAACAATCAAGGAAAACAAAAAATGTCTTTCCAATCAAAGGTCGTACAACTTCATTTCAAAAAGTGCGATGTTTTTCATCGCTGCTTTTTCAGATTTTGAAGCCCGCACTACGATATTTAGTGGTACAATTAAATCTTTCTCTACTCTTTTATCGAATTCATTTTTCTTTCCTTGAAGAAGGAGGAAGAATTTGTTTCATACTTGTCCATCAGCTGATGTAATTGGCTGCACGGTATAAGAGTGCGTTATTTTGTTCTTCTTTTTAATAGCAACTTCTGTTATTCTTTGGTGAGCGAAAGAAAGAGCTTTTGAGGAAATATATTCCTGTTGGAATTTGTTGAGAAGAATAATTCGAAATTAAAGATCTTTGCTTTTTGATTCAGTCGTGAGCACCTAAAATACACACATATATATATATATATATCACATTAAGATAAATAGATTGTAATCTCAAATATACATACCTTTCGAAACTACCTATTTTTCTGGCTGAAGAAACTCGAGTAATAAATTTGTTGTACTACCTGGAGGCAATTCGATGGTCTCTTTTGAACACGAAAAGAAGGACTTCACTTGTTTTGAAATTATTCCAATTTAGTTTTCTTGGTGTTGGTATTTCACAAAATTTTAGATTGCTATCATGAATTGCTTCTTTTTCAGTAGCTCTTTGCAAATAAAATTCATGGCACGTAAAGTCTTTGATTTTTTTTAGTTTTTCTAATCTCGTGCCGTTCGTTTTAATATATTCTCTAAATTTTGGGATATAATACATGTATTTGACTTATCGGAACCTATGCTTAACAGTTGCAATTATATAATTTGAATGTTGATCAACTCATTCCATTATATCTTCTATCTCTTCTAATGTAACATTATTTCGAACATCCAATTATTGATTTTTCTCATAACCGTCAATATTCTCTTTATCAATGCTGCCTCTTTCGTTAATCATTTCGTCATATTCATCATTGAATTCGAGAGTTTAGTAAGTATATAGGTCGTTAAAACAACTGTCTTTGAAAGTCTTTAAAATTTTGAACAATTGTTGTAAAGCGAAAATTTCATCAGCACTTGGTGGTGATTCTTCAAAGCAGTATT